AAGGAAGAATCTTCTGGTCCCAAAGTCAATTTTTTTATACTGATGCACAGAAATAAGAAGTATTTTCAGAGACTGGATCTCTTTATTTCCCCCCAATCTTTATTAACCTCTCAGAGTGTTTTGGGGCTGTACTTTGAAATGTGCTAAGACAGTTAGCCTTACAAATTTACTTTGATCACATTACGGGCTTTATGTATGAGAAAATACATCACGGGCTTAGCACCTAGGTCTAAATGCTGAATTAAATGTTTTACATGCTGTCTTATTTAATCCAATTTTCTATCCTGAGCTCTAGACCCACATTGCTAGACTCAACACCTTCTTTTGACAATCTTGTTAGTAAACCAAATTTAACATGTCCTAAGGAAACCATTCTTCTTTACTTTGTATACTTTCCTTCTTCCCAGAGTGCCAAATCCAAGGATACCAACGCTCTCTACAGCTAGGAGTTACCTCAATCCCCTCCTATAATTTTTTTACTTGTTGCATACATGTTGTAAGAGGCTGCTTGTTTGTTTCCCGGTTGCCCAGACTCCCAAAATAACCACACAGAAACTATTAGGTAAATCACCGCTTGGCCTGTTAGCTCTAACTTCTTATTGGTTAGCGCTTACATCTTAATTTAACCCATTTCCATTATTTTATATTTTACCATGAGGTATGTGGCCTCCCAGCAAGGTTCCAGCTGCCAGCTCCCGTCTTTCCCCTCTGGTGGCTCCATGGCATCTCTTTACTGAGCCTCCTTTCTCCCAGTATTCAGTATAGTTTTTCCCGCCTAGCTCTACTCCATCCTATCACAGGCCAAGGCAGTTTCTTTATTCGTTAGGAACCCTGAGTCAGGAGCCTGATACAGAGGCCATGGAGAAATGCTACTTACTGGTTTGCTTCTTATGGCTTGCTCAGCCTGCTTTTTTTATAGAACCCAGGATAGTCAGCCCATGGAAGGCACCACCCACAATGGTCTCCACCCTTCTCCACCAACCACTAATTTAAAAAGTGCCCTACAGGCTTGCCTGCAGCCAGATCTTATGGTGGCACTTTCTGAATTGAGGTTCCCTCCGCTCAGATGATTTTCACTTGTATCAAGTTGACATGAAACTATCCAGCACAAGCAGCAAGGGCTTTGACTCAATGAGTCACACCTCCTGTCTTTAGGACAACAGTTTTAATAAGACAATTCTACAGAGAGTAAATATTTCATCAGGCATATGCTAATTTATTCCCATTTCTTTCAGAGCAAACACACAATTCGTTAGGATGGCTGAAAGGATTCTCTGCTGCTCTGCCTCCTTCTCTCAGACTCTAGAATATTCCTACATGCTATAGTAATATTGTGCTTGAGATCAGCTGAGCAACATAGCAAGATTCTATATCAGCAAAAACATACAACACAGTATTTGATCAAAACCATTTTGTTCTGTTGTACCATATCAGTGAGTTTCATACAATACATTCTACATGGGATGAAGTGAACACTTCAGATGGTCCTAGGATCAGACAAGCCCCACAGAAAGGCCAGCTGTCTGCTCAAGGAGTAAGCCAAGGAGTATGAAAACCCAGCTGTTTTTCAACGCATGTCCCACAGACAGCACAAATCTGGCCCGGACAAAAAGGTGAGAGAAGGGAAAGGATGCCTCTTGTTAGATGTCCTGAAGAGTCGGTCGGTTGGCCAGTTTATTGGCTCCTCTAAAAGCCATATGTATGGAAGGTTTGGTCTTTGAAGCAAGCAAGGATTCAGAGGTGGGGCCTTGGGGAAGAGGGTGGGTATTGTGGGCTCTGACTTCACGAATGGAATAGTCTGTTAATTGATTCATAATTTGATGACATTTGATGCCTTATTGGAAGGCAGTAGAGATGACAGGAGGTTGGACCTAGTTGTAAGCAGGTCAGTGGAGAGTATGTCTTGCTCTCATCCCTTCCTCTTTGCTTGTCACTTTACTTTCCAGCTGCCAGGAGGTGAGCAAACTATTCCTTAACTATGCTTTACCAGGGACCTAGAAACAACAGAACCATGTGTCCATGCTTACAAACTTTAAAATCATTGGCCAAATAAATACCTCCTCCATCTAAGTTGTTTCTTTATTCTGAAATATTTGTCATGATGATCAGCATTAACATGTGTACTATCAGAATTCACATCTCCCTAACCCTTGTATATGGATATATATGGATGTGCAAGATATACTCATATTTGGAAATAGGGTGTTTGTGTGTTTAATTAGATAAGAATGATAAAGATGAGTTCTTATTAGATTAGGATAGACTCTAAATATAAGGGCTGAACAGAACCTAGATATAAGGAGAGTACACAGAGGGAGGAGGACGGTGCACAGAGGGAGGAGGACAGTGCACAGAGGGAGGAGG